AATACAATTTTCAATATCTGGCTCAAGTATTCTCTCATATCTGTGGTGGAAATTCATCTCCTCCTGCAATACYTYAYACCCCTTTCTGCCAGCATTACAGCATATGTCATGTGCTATGCATTGCACTTTTTTTCTGTTTGGTCGCTCTTTCTCAAGAGGTAACCTGTGAGACCATTATGCTTAGCAAGAGTATATACAGTCATGCACAACTGTATTTAGTTGTATAAGGTTTTACTGGAGAGCAGATCCATGACATATACTAGATTTTCAAAGATTCCATACTCAAAAAGATAAGAACCACTGTTATAAAACTTCATTTCTTGTTTCTCTAGGTTTCTCATTTTGTTTATGGGATAAAAATGCTTTTCAGTTATAAAGGCAACACATACACATTGAGAGAATATTGTGTGTGTGTATGTGAGTGTGTGTGTGTGTGTTCATACATTACTTAGGGTAATGATATCCATCTCATTCCTCCACCTTTTTTATACCCCTTTCCCCCTCCCTCCCTCTCCCTCCCCTTTTCCCTATCTAGAGTTTATCTAATCTTCCCATACTCCCCTTCCCAACCCCACTATGAATCAGCCTCCTTATATCAGAGAAAACATTCGGCATTTGGTTTTTGGGATTGGCTAACTTCACTTAGCATTATATTTTCCAACTCCATCCATTTACCTGGAAATGTCATGATTTTGTTCTATTGTATTGCTGAGTAATATTCCATTATGTATATATCCCACATTTTGTTTATCCATTCAACTACTGAAGGGCATCTAGGTTGGCACGGTTTAGCTATTGTGAATTGTGCTACAATAAACATTGATGTGCCCGTGTCCCTGTAGCATTCGGTTTTTAAGTCCTTTGGGTATAGACCAAGGAGTGGGATAGCTGGGTCTAAGGTAGTTCCATTACCAGTTTTCCAAGGAATCTCCATACTGCTTTCCATATTGGCTGCACCATTTTGCAGTCACACCAGCAATGTATGAGTGTGCCTTTTCCCCCACATCCTTGCCAACACTTATTGTTATTTGTATTCTTAATACCTGCCATTCTGAATATTATTCAGAGAAATAAGACCTAAAGCATTGAACACAATGACTAACATTTATGGATTATTTACAACATCAAGTACTTTAGTGTTTATGTATTATGTAATTTGACACTCATAGAACCTCTATGGGATAGATACAATTATTGCCCTCTATAGGACATTAGATCATATTTCTAGATTTGTACATAATAAAGATAAAATTATATTAGTGATTTTTTACTAGGGGTTCTATGTATCAATAGGAAAAATGTTGAACACCACATACAAAAATGTTTGAAAGATATAAACAGATGATTGAAAAATACAACATGTAGATAGAAGGAAAAATGTTAAATCTGAGAAAAATACAAAAGCAGCATGCATTTTTGGATGATACACACACACACACACACACACACACATACACAACACACGTGCACACATGTATGGCTCAGTGCTAGTGGCAATTTAAAAATAAAACCTTTTACCTTCTGCTGCTTGAAGTGTGAATTGGTACCCTGGTCCTTTTCTTTCTCTTCCTGTCTTTTATTGTCTTTGTTCTGCTGTCTCTTATAAGAACTTAGATTAAATTAGAATCTTTTGGTCATAGTAGTTCAATCTCTTGTCTCACTAACGTTTCACTTTAATTTTGTTTATTCGAAACATTCATTTAACTACACTTTGTTTTGTAAGCTTAATCCTACAGTTGGAGTTTTTATTCCCACTATTGAATTTCCTGTCCCCATTTCTTTTTGTTTGCCTTTTGTAACTTCTATTTCAATCCTTTTTCTATTTTCATTACTCATCTTAAGCCTATTTTAGCCTTCTGAACCATCTCATAAATTTTAACCTCTTTTCTTCCTTTACTCTCTGTTTAAATTTTTTAAAAAATGACTTGTTTGATGATATCTATTGAAAAGTTTGCTCTGCCTTATGAAATCTCATGCACTCTGGATCATTCAATCAATATTGAATTGGTTGAGAGACTGGGTACATTTAACAATTACTGAACACTGCAATAATCAGTTCTAGAGCTCCAGGAGGTTATTTAACCTATCCATGTTTACATACTTGATAATTCCATAAAAGGTTTTGATCCAGTTCTGATGAACAAAAATACACATGGGCAGAGAACTCATAAAGATGGAATATTGTAGATCATTTCAGTAAATAGTGTTGAAGGTCTGAATCCTTCCAAAAAAAGTTAGATTCTAGATTATATGCATTCCCCATTACGAGTCACTTAACTTGAGATTTTCAGCTAAATAAAAAAAAAAAACCTCTTAATTGAAGTTCTAAATTAGTCAGTGAATTCTTATAAGGCTTAAAAACGTTGTACAGGCTTTCATCAAGATGAAATAACAAATTTTACATGTGTGGACCATTACTACCATTTCTTAGAAGAAATGACTTGTAAGTTTTGGCTTTTCCCTTGCTAGCAAGACAGGGTAGACTTCTAGAAATGAATTGAGATTAACCCAGGATTCTGGATCAAAAGAAAAATGGAAGAACTAAGCTCAGGCTTTGTCTTTAAGGTGAATACAGGATGGTGGGATGAGACTGCATCCATTGAGTCTGCTCTGATGGAACCAATGTTAGGTCCAGGGCTCTAAGAGCATCATGGTGGAATGTTAAGTGTGTGGGGATGGAGCTGGGGAGGGAGGCCACAGATAATTGCAGGAATTAAGCCTTTCTGTCTGGTACAACTGCTACAGCTTGACCCTATCCATGCAGACAAAAAGCAGAGGGCGGGTCTACTTAGGGATCATTCTTGAATAGAAAGGTTGAAAAGAATTTTGAATRATACTCATATGCTATTGTCCAATCCATAGTTGCACAATTCATCCCAATCTAATATCTCTTTCCCTATCATCCCTTACACCATGTCTCTCACCCTCCCTTTCCTTCTCACTTTCACTTTCTTATTCCCAGTAAAGTTTAAGTTCCTAGAGCCATCCCAAATTCACATCTCTAGCCTCAAATCTTACAAAATGTTTGGCAAGTTCCCTCTACTACTAAATAGCTTTGTCACTGTGTTATATCACTTCAGCTACCACCATTTTTTTTCTGCTACTAGATGAGTAAAGTCCTTACTACACAGAGTGACCATTAGATTAGTGAGATAAAGCATGAAAAATGCCCACCATGGCACCCAGGGAACACAGCTGTTTCTGACCACTAGCACCTTCCTCCTGCATTTTAGTGTGCTCCTATCCTCACTGTCACCCTGTGGGTGCATCCACATTCCTTTGCACACAGAACTCATTCATTTCA